TACTTATTCCCAGGATTGAGAAGAAACAGGGAGCAGAGGGGATGAGTGAGTGGAGCTAAGCCGGAGTGGAACGTATGATAGTTGATGGCTTGATGGGAAATTCATAGTAAACTGCTAATTCCTGGAAGCGGGGAGGAACTGAGAGTTGAATTGTGCAGCCTTCCACATTAAGGCATCTTTCTCTCTCGCTCTCATATTTAAAGCTGAGTCAATCTATTACAAAACAATTTTTGATTTCTTTGGCTGTCTTTCAAGTGAAATGGGATGGCGTTTCCTCCTTCAAGATCAACAATAGCAGCTAAGAAGCAAATATTTACAGGCTGGTGTTCATTGCTCCCCATCTCCTCCCAGGGCAATTCTTGGCCATAGTTATTTCGAGAGAAAATAACTTTCTTTTTCTTGGTCTGAATTTTCTTTTCTGCACGTAGTGTTCATGTTCGTGATCAAATTGTTTCCCTTGTTGTTCATTTGCTTAAATCATACATTGTGTTTTTTGTTGCTTTTGACTCTGTTTTTTTTTCCTTTTTCTTCCTGCTCTTTCAAAAGCGGATACTAATCATGGCTATCTGATATTAGATGCCTAGCAGTTTCCTAATTAATGGGCATGTCTATACATCGTTGTACGGTGACGTTGCCTTTTGGAAGTACTAAAGCACAGCGCAGTACTGGTGGTTACTGCACCGTGCATGCAGTGCACGGTTAGATTTTGCCGCTGTGTCGCCGTAACGGCATACTATACTGGGGGAGCATGCCACTACTGCGATGTAGCTGGTGACCACGTGTAGACCCATGTGTTTGCTATGTTGCTGTAGCACGCCGTACAGTGATGTAGCATGCCACTATGTCACCGTAGGGTGACCTGTAGACGCGCCCAATATGTATTAGAGACCCTGATTCTGCATTTCGTATGCATCCAAACTCCCTCCGAGGTCCACTTGCATAGGCAGCCTTTAGTGAGTTTCTGCATGGGTAACAATAGTATTTCATAATTGTGAGCTGTCTATAGAAATCAAGCAGTCGTGAATGGGGCAATTTATCTACTTCATAAATTTGCTGACTAGGAATAGATCCACCTTGCCTCCCATTCCTGTCAGTCTGAGCATGGCTGACGGATAAACTACTTTATTCTAACCTCAGCAATTTGGTAACTTTGGCTAATGTGTCTGCTTTTCAACCACTTTGTTACAAGTCTCTGGTTTCAAAGGATTTAGACTGGATCTGGATTTAGTTCTGGATATCCAGGTAGGACACTCTTATAGCAATCTTACTGTAAACTGCTTAGATGCAGTTCAACTGGGGAGGCAGCGCTTAGTGCCGAGAGCAGTAATATATTGTCTCTATATTTTTTCGGATTGAGTCCTAACTTTGATTATTTAGAGAAATCCAGTGGGTAAAGGCCTCTTTCATTCCGTCTAAATGCTGATTTAACATAACACATAAAAAAACCCCAAACAAACTATTTTATAGGGCTAGCTTTTACTTAGGACCTCAAAAATAAAGCTTTTTGAAGGGAGAGGCCCTACTTTTTATTTCTGCTACTTGCATTGACCTCCAGAAAAGATGCCAAAATGTCAATATTTTATTAATAGGATTCTTGTAAAGTTAGAGCTGTGGTGCAATTCACGATAAATCAGACTGACTGGAAATTGTGGCATTATTCTCATCAAATAATCACCCATAAATAAACGTTGTCCTAATTTGACCTTTTCTGGTAAATACCCATGTGATCCAGTCTCACGCGCTCCCCTCCCTCAGTGAGACCAGAGGCATGCAGAACGTGGAAACTTCCTTTTATTGGATCATTTCTCCTTTTATTTCAAAACTCGGATGGAGAAAGACCAAGGCCCCACGAAGGTGGAGGTTGAATCTGCTTGGGTCAGCATTTGAAAGGAACGGTCAAGGAGGCGCCGGTTTTGGTAAGTGCTATGTTGTGATGGCACTTATCGCCATAAGCATCAAATGTCTGCATACATTAGTTGAGGCTTGATTTAGGCATACTTGTAGATGGAAAGTTGAAAATAGTTGTTAGGACACATGGGCTTCCCTTTAACGAGCCAGGGCTTTGGTCAGTGGGATGGATCAGTGGTGCACCAATAATGGCCCGTTTACTGGCTAGGGGAAGGGATTTCATTTAGCCCAGACCAGCACCACCGACTAAAATTGAAGGGATTGAATTTAGCCCAGACCAGCACCACCGACTAAAATGTGTTGTCGGCTGATGGCTTCCCCGAGGACTTGTACCATGAAAGAATCTGAGAGCTGTTTGCTCAATTTATGGCTGCAGTGATTTGGACTTTGGCTAAATGAGCAAGTCTGTACTGGTGCCTTCGAGTGGCAGAAATCATAATAGCCTACTACTCCAGCCACTAAAAGTAATTCTTATCTTATGCAGTAGAGGCCTGTTTTATTTTAAGCTGAAAGACAGTGGTTTAAGATTAATATAGCAATTGCATTTGTTGTCTCTGTGGATTGATTTCATCACTACCACATCTAGGTGTTTCTTGGGAATGCATGAGTGTTTCTTTGTGAGCTATCAAATAATGGAGATAAAACCCCCTTTTTAAAATGTATACTGCAGGCAGAGGAGGAAGTAGTGAAATGGTATTTTCATAGGTCATTCCATAAGCCAAGCGGGGAACTGCAGTTGCACGTGTACGATGTCTCTCCAATCCCGGCTCCCCCGTGCTGGTGAGGGGCCTCCTGTCTTGCTGTTGTGCGAGACATACCGCTTCCAAACTTCCTGCTCTTGAATGTACTTTGACTTCCCCAGCCCTTTTTTTATTGCCCCTGTAACTCCCCACAGGCTCACTTTCAACCTCCTCCGTTTCCGTTGTGGAAGCTTCAATCCGCTCAGCTCAAAGAGCTCCGGCCAGATGTGAGGAGGGGAGCTGCAATTCTTGGCATCCCACCCGTGGTGCAACAGCATCCATCATCCCGGCGGGCAGGGCACACCAGACCACATCCTTGCCTGTCTCTGTCTGATATGACAGAGTGCCCGTCTAGTGAGACTGCACCCGGCCTTCCCTCTGGAAGGTGATGGAGAACTTGCCCGTACTTCTCAGGCCTGCCAAACTTTGAGAGGAATGTCCCATCCCAGTTAACAAAAAAAGGGCATTGGTAAGATCACAAAAGACCTTTGTTAAGGTTAAGAAGGCCGGGTATGTAGGTTTGTGGTTATGTCTTATTCTTCCAGGAACAGTTCAGCAACACCCAGAATGTCAGTGGTACTTCCTACCCCCCAAGCGCTACGGTAAATCCCTCTGAAAACCACAATGTCTTTTTTTTTTAGCTTGGCCACTCCTTAGCAAGGAGCAATCAGGAAAGTATTTCTCCTTCATTTGAGAAACAGGCACCAGATATTCTTCCCCCCTATGTTTGATAGATTTTTGTGCTGTCTATTGCATTATATAAAAAAAGAAAAAAAACTTTGCCTAATTGTGGTATCAACTCTCAGTCCTTTGAGCTCACGAGAGGCCAGCGATAAAGGCCATTCTCTGGGGGGGTTGCACAGTTCAGGGGTTCCTCCTGGATTGTGTGTTGTTAATATTCACTCGTGCCCCCTCAGGACGTTGCCTGGCCCTGCAGCCCCCGGGTCCCAGGTCTGAATGCTTCGGAGCTTGGCAGCGGTTTTGAGAGAGCTGCAGAGGCAACGTGCCCGATGCCCTTTGGGGCACTGCACACTCCCAGGGGAGCAAGAGGGGCGGTATTTATGCTCTTCAGAGCAAAGTAGGGCAAAAACTCTGCCTGGCTTTTACATGGGTTGTATAGGACAGACCAAGTGGAGTCCCTCTCCCCCTCCTGTCCTGCCACCATGCTACAGCATTTGGGTTTGGAGGAGAGGGTCAGCTTTTTTGCTCTCAAGAGACCAGTAACAGATGGCCTACGGGTGGTTCGTCCAACTCACAGCTGAGGCATGTCAGTGCGAAGACACGCTTGCTGCCCATGCTGTGCCAAATCTTGCGAGGACGCCAGTCTCTTGCTTTGCCCCAGGAAAAGAAATTGTTGGACTATGTGATGGGAGGGGTGGAAACCCAAGTGGTGTCTACGTCTGAGCCAATTACTGTCGCATATTATCAGCTAGGTTTTAAGCAGTGACCTTGTTTTGCTTCAGTCCTGTCTGGTTTGTTCCTTAAAGCCATTGTGATTCTGCCCAAGGGCTTCCCCGCTAGTCTGGTGTCCCCCGCGTCCCACGAGCAGAGAGAGGAGAGTAGCCTCACAGGGATACCATGCACCCCCACTCAGTGCAGAGCAGCGGGTCCGGTGCTGGGCCCCAAAACAGCAAGAGGATCAGCACCTCCATCCCTCCCGTAGCTTAGTCCCTCGGATGGCCCAGGAGGACAGCAGCCACTATTGCAGCCCATACGCTGAAACAACCCAGTGAGCTCCTCTCTGCATGTGAGCTGGGCAGGGGCATGTGACTCCGGTCTCTTAAACTCCCACTTTCTCCCCCATTTATTTTGGGGGAGAAGGGATGCATTCGCCCCCATTTATTTTGGGGGAGGAAGGGATGCATTCTCCCCCATTTATTTTGGGGGAGGAAGGGTGCATTCTGCACCTCTTGGGAATGAAGTGCACTTGTCAGCTGTCCAAGCGCACCAGAGGGGATTGGCACAAAGGCCTACGCTAGAGGATGAGGATCTGATCACTTGGATTGTTTTGCAAAGCCAGCAAGGTCTGTGCTTTCCCTCCCGTACAGTACGAAGAGAGCTGCAATCCTGAACTGTTCGCATCACGCCGGTTTGGCAGCCAGTAGCGAGGCAGTCGAGAGATACAAGGGATAAAATATTCATGTTTTGTGAAGGCTGCTAACCTTCTGTTGGCAATCTGCTGGCTCCCCTGCTCACGCAACGCCGTGCCAGCCCCCTCTGCCTACTGTACCTGGCGTTTTAAAAATGGGCTGGGAGTGCGACACGGAGGGGGCTCCGTGCTGCTGCAGCACCGTTGCTCCACGCGGCTCTGCCTTCCTGTAACCCAGCATACTTGTTTAATCTGTTTTCCAGCCTGGAGGCTGCCAGCATCGGATTCATCATCATTATAGACAGACGACGGGACAAATGGAGCGCGGTAAAGGCATCCCTGACACGGATAGCAGTAAGTGCGTGGCATTGTTTTTGCTGTCACCTGCCTTCCCTTCAGCACTGATTTTTATAGCTTCCTTTTTTTTGTTTTTTTGGTTTCCTGGGTATTAATGCAGTACCTTCCTGACCCTAGAGGTCCCTGTTACCTAGCAGAGATAGCTGAGCCTGTGCTGATGAATTACACAACCTTGGTTCCTGCCGAATTAGAAGGAAGACAACTGTGTCACAGATCCGAGTGATTTAAAGGGAGCCTCTCTAAGTTCAAGGAGCTGGAAGAGGGAACCTCCATTGTGCCGTGGAGGGTTAGGAGTGGCCCAGGAGCCCATGTGCGAGATAAAAATGGATCTCTAAAGGCTCGGGGCAGCTGGGAGATCTGTCGGATTATTTGAGAAAGGTGGACCCAAAAACCCAGAATATGAGCAGCTGTGGAGTATTTTTTTTCTGACGATGTGACATGCAGAGCATGTGGAAGAGGCATAGCTGCGTGCGATGCACGATCCCTGCTGAATCAAATTGTCGTTTAAGTGTTTCCTGAGGATGCAGAGTGTTTGGTTTCTTTGCCCTGCTTATTGTCCTCAGTGTTTGAACATATTTCCTAGGCTCTGATGATCACGTAACACAGATAAACAGGAGGAAGCTGAGGTTGTGAGCCAGGCCACATGTCTAAGGAGAGCGTTGAGCTGTCCTGTGGATAAAATCAACCTTTTCCAGGGCAGGATGGGAAATACAGTCTTGTAACGTGTGTATGGCACAGCCAGAGGCACCTGCCCAGATGTACACAATCGTCTTGTCCTCTAACGGCTGCGGCCTGCAGAGCAGAGAAGCTCTGTTACTACAAGAGCTGATTGAGATTTTCATATCACTCGATGGGCAGAAGCTTGTGGTTTATTGGGCTGGAAGGGTTTAAATCGCTCTTTGCCTGCTGTCTGTCTGCCAGGCAGAAACACCTGGCTGTGAGGCTTCATCTGCAGCTCAGTGTGGGAGTCTGTCTATTGACTTCAGGTCATGGAGGATAGGATGATGGGAGGAATAGCAGACAGCCATGAAGACCGGACAGCCCCAGAACTATTTTCCCCTCCTCGGGAGCTGCAGAAGCACAGCACAAGGGAAGAGGGCACTGAAATCCTCCTGGTGCTCTTCTCCGGGTGTGGGGCTTGATTCCTCTGCCCTGCCACTTCTTTCTGTTCCTTGCAGGGTGCGTTTCCAGGGAACCTGCAGCTGGTGTTTGTCCTGCGGCCCTCCCGCTTTATCCAGAGGACAATCGCTGACATCGGCATTAAACTCTACCGAGATGACTTTAAAATGAAGGTACCGGTAAGCATGCACTTTCTTGCCCCTGTGTTCTTTTTGTGTCCATGTCCATAGTTTCTAAGTGTCAGCAAACATCTCTCAACCCATCCGCTAGCGTTAAGTGGTAGCATGCCAACCAGGATGGACAATTTTCTTTGAAGTCCCAAGTGAAACCTAAATGAAATAGGACAGTCCTTGGTGTGTGAGATGGAGGATGTTGGAACCAGCTCTGTTGTTTTGATCAAATGGCTTCTTTATTCTGGACTTCGTTTCAGTGGTTAACTCCCAGGGTGAGGCAGGGGAGGAGACGTATCCTGAGCGCTGGCTCATTTAAATAGTGTTTGATTTTGGCAATAGTACCCACGAGTTATCCATGAATTATCACAGGATGTGCTATAAGATGGATGCAACCATTCATTACAATATAACCTTGCTCTGAAACATGATTGTGTCAAAAGACACTACTCCTTGTGGCTCTCCTGGTGGGCGTTCAGAGCTGGGTCTTCTCGCTCTGTTGATAAAAAATAAATGGTAGGCCTGCAGAGCTAACCCAGCTGAGAGACATAGGGCTGGGGTCTTGCATGACCCACACTCCAGTGGATTGCACCTGTTCCAACCAGCTGAAGAGAATGGGGTCAGCAGGGTGGTACCAAGGGCCAGATTTGCCCCGCAGGACCTTTATTACATGTAGTGATGTGAGAAGGAAAGAACCCAGCTTCATTCTCTGACCCCAGGCAGGATGTGCAGAGCTGACAGTTAGCAAGAATCATTTAGATCGGCTGCGTGTGAGGGAAGCGCGCTTGGGTTTCACCGATAACGTATAAGCACAGAAACCTCAAACGGCATTTGCATGGAATCATGCTCCAGAGAAGAACCACATTGTCCAGCTTGCTTCCTTAACTGACACTGTGCATTAAGGCAGGTACAGAAATAGGTAGCATTATTAGAGCAGTCTATAACCATAACCCCCTGTAAGCTTCCTGTCCGGGAGAAGGACGGTGAAAGAGGGTCTTTTTCTTTTCCCTACGGGTTGGTGTCGTACCACAGTAGCGAGCGCTTCTCCGCAGGTCCTCTCTTCCAGTGACAATCTGTCAGAGCTCCTGCTGTGTCTGCATGCCGTTATGGCCATTTATAATACACAGTGCTCCCATCCAGTGCAAGGCTTATGTATTAATTTTATTCAGCTCATGCTTGAAATGTATTATGGGCTGCTGGGAGTGTAGTAGAAGTTAGAGCAGGTAACCAATTCTGTGCTGCATGCCTCGTTCTCTTAAAATTTGATCCTAACCTCATGTTTGCCTGGCATCTCATGATCATTGTTGTTGTTGTGTTCTTGCTCTTATTATTGATATTATTATTATTAGTATTATTATTATTATTATTACCTCAGCACCAATAAGAAACAACAATATTGGTTATAATACAAGCATGTCAACTTCAGATTCCATGCTCCGTAATGTTTCTATAGGGATGATTTTCTTTAGCTTTCCCTGAGTTGGTTTTCATAGATTCATCGATCATTAGGGACTGGAAGGGACCTTGTACATCATCAGGTCCAGTCCCCCTGCACTAGGCAGGAAAAGACAACTGGGGTCAAGTGACCCCAGCGAGGTGACCGTCCGGTCTCCTCTTGAAAACCTCCAGGGTAGGTGACTGCACCCCCTCTGGAGGGAGTTTATTCCACAGTCTGGACACCCCGACTGTGATGGAGTTTTTCCTGGTATTAAGCCTGAAGCAGCCTTCCAGGAGTTTGCATCCATTGGTCCTGGTCTTCCCCAGGGGTGCCCTGGTGAACAGCTGTTCACCAAGCTCTTGATGCACTCCCCTGATGTAGTGGTAAGCTGCTACCAAGTCCCCTTTTGGCCTTCTCTTCTTTTCATTTAAATCAGTTTTCCAAAGGCCCCTGACTCCCTCCCCAGCCCCACCAATTATTGGTAACTAAGGCCATGTCTGTGTGGTGAATTTATCATGTCCGGCCCTGCTCTGTGGGCTTCCTCCTACACTAGAAGCAGTGCAGCCATGTCTGCACAGCACCAGGGGCAAGCTAGTTTAGCATGGGGTCGGGCTCATTAGTCCCATCACATAGCAGTGCTAATTAGGTCTCCCAAAGTGTTGTGTGGACACTGGCCACTCCTTCCCGTGAAGGAGGTGGCCAGTGTCGAGCTCTGCAGTGTGCTTATGGTACTGGTGCCTGTCACAGTAAGTGTCCTACATAGGCATGACCTAGGTGGTAAGTGCAGTTGTTTGTGATTGTCTGCATACATGCCTGGGAGTGGAGGAGAGGGCAAAATACGGCCAGCGGGCTGGACCTGGCCTGCGGCTGCCCCCGCAACACTCTGCATGGGGCTGAGCCCCGTCTGCTTCTGCCTGGGGCAGCTCACACCATGCCCCCGCCTTGTGTCTGCCAACGGCACCACCCCAGCCCTGGCCCCACCCAGCATGCACAGCTTCCCAGTGGGGCTGCTCCAGCTGCCTGGATGCTGCTCAGCTCATCCCTGCCTCCGGTGGCTCCTCCTCCTCCTCCCCTACCCCCTGCCTGCTGCACCACTTTGGGCAGCAGGTAGCACAGGGAAGCAGCAGCAGCTGTGGGTACGTGTGCTGGGCACCACAAGCCCAGCCAGGTGCAGGGGGCCTGTGCATGGGGCTCAAGCTCCTACCCCAGTGCATGGGGCTCAAGCTCCGGGTCCCAGCTGCCTTGTACCCAGTCCTCCCACCCAGCACAATGAGCAGCCACCTTTGGGCATCCGAGTGGGTGGAAGGTGGCTGGAGCGGTGCAATAGGGGCAGGAGGAGAAGCCGCTGGAGGCGGGGGGAGCTCAGCAGTACCTGGGCAGCACCAACAGCAGCCTCACCAGGAAGCTGCGCGCTCTGGCTGGGGCCGGGCCTGAGGTGGTGCCGTCAGTGGGTGCAAGTGGGAGCGCAGCATGGGCTGCTGCAGGTGAGAGCCCTGTGTAGAGCGCTGCGGGGCAGCCACAGGCCAGACGGGGTGGGGCGCAGACCGAGCATGTGGATGCCCCCCTCAACACATGCACACCCACCTCCTTACACCCCCCCCACACATCCACCCCACACCCCCTCCGCACCCACAATATGCAAGAAGACTTAATTTTGAGCTATTATGCAATCACTTTTATATACGCTACTCAAAAAAACCATCATTCAGGACAACAGTTATTTTTTTGAAAGAAAATTAAAATATGTTATAGTAGAAGTTTGATTTTTAGTATGACTTTTTTATCTATAATTTGTTAAAATGATGTCTTCTGAAAGGCTTTGTGTGCGGCCCTCAACAGCTCTCACAGGCTCATGAGACGGCCCTCCAGCTGAAATAATTGCCCGCCCCTGGTCTAGCACCAGAACTCCTACATTGGGCATGAGAGGAGAGCTTGAAGCAGATTTCAGAAGAGCTGGGCCGAGCTGGGCCAGTGTGGGTGCACACAGTATCTTCTGGAGGAACAAATTGGTGCTTGCTGTCCTGCCTCAATGGTTATGGTGGCCTGGTGTCTGCCTCCGCCCTTTGCAAAGCACCGAGGAATGAGCCCGGGTTTGCAGGCTGCCCCCACACCCTTTCCAACCGGGGCAGTGGTTCAGGGTCCTGTTTTCCATGAACTGCAAGGGTCTGATGCCTTTCTTCCCGGCTTCAGTTCTGCAGGGCTGCATGGGAGATGGTATTCAGATGTTACCATAGCAACTACTACACCCACTACTGCTGCCCAGGGAAGGACAACCATGTTTTAAAAAAATGAAGTTTGCCTCCAGCTCAGCAGCTGTTGTACTTCTTGCAGTTAAAAGCCTGAGAGAAATTAAGGTTTTGCTTCATACCCCCAGTGGCTTTGGAAGCCAGACTTGAAACTGTTAACAGAATATTAGGAAAAACTTTCACATTAGGAGGGTAGTAAAACACTGGAACAGGCTACCCAGAGAGGTTGTGGGATCTCCATCCTTAAAGGTTTTGAAGACCCGGGTAGAAAAAGCCTTGGCGGGGATGATCTAGGTGGGGCTGGTCGTGCTTTGAACAGGGGTTGGACTAGATGTGACCTCCTGAGGTCCCATCCAACCCCAAGTTTCTATGATTCTTTGACTGGGAGTCCAGGATGCTCAAAGATTGTGTTCATAATTATTGTGCTGCTTTATAGAGGGGGAAACTAAGTTCAGAGGTGCTGGGTTAAATTTGCAAAAGCATCTATTGATTTGGGGTCCCTCAGATGTTGGAGACCCAACATGGGGACAATGGGATGGGCTGAAGTCAATGGGAGTTTTGGGCATCCATCATCTTTCTCATTTAGGTTTCCAGTTGGGCACCCTAAATTAGCAGAGACTTTTAAAACCTTTTCAGCCTAACAGGCTTGCCCATGATTAGCCATCCATGCCCAATCCAAGAACAAAACCTAGGAGTCCTAGGTGGACTGCTCTATTCTCTCGACCACATAACTTTCTGCTCCTTAAATTACATTCAGGTATAAGCAAGAGGTGAGAGTTTCTTACAGAAATCCTTACCTCTCACCTGTTTCCTGGACCATCACGGCGACAACATCACTTCGATACTACCACATACAGGTACCTTAGAGACGGTTGTTGGGCTGGCTGTATTAATGTCACCGTGCAGAGAATGGTTGATGGATTTCCTAAGCAGAGAGGAGGCTGAGGGAGGGTCAGCCAGCGAGCATAAATTGAATGCAAATATGCTTACTAAAATAGATCTGAGCTAAATCAATACTGGGCTGAATGGAAACCCTGGGGTGAGACCAAAAGCATTCAGCAGGGGCTGAAAGAACGTGTGTGGGCATGACAAGGAAACAAGGTTTGTGTTGCATATGGGAACATGTAAATATGTTTAATAAAACCAGCTGAAGTTAAACCAACAGTGGGCAAGGTGGCAAGCAGGAGAGGTATCTCACGCAGGTCGTGTAGCGTGCAGGAATGACATCAGGGTTACCTAGACTGAGCTTTAGTTCATGAAGGAAATCCACCCCCTTTCATGAGAGGAGGTGCAACTAAATGAGCCTTCATTCTGGGAGCTGAAGA